AGTTTTATCCGGGCGCGTTTATGACCGGAGAAATTGCGGGCTCTAATTAGAACGTGGAATTGCTCAAGGCTTTTTTCCACAATACCGCTTCTCTCTCTCTCTCTCTCTCTCTCGCAACTCCTCCTCTGTACGTTATCCAACCCCGTGAAATGTATTTCGCGACGAAGAAAAGTAGTCGAAGTGATATCGTGCGTGTATCGAACAAAGGAGCGCGTAACCAAAAGCAGAAAAATCCAAGCCATTTTGTAAAACTGTCGCGGGTGCAACGCGAACGATTTCGCGATACGTTTTCGACGTGGAATACGTGGTGGTCGTCGATCAATTTCAAGTACGCCGTCTGCGAGGGCATTATTCTCGACAAAGAGCCGGCAGAAACTTGCGAGTTTGGTTACCCTTAATTACACCCGGGCTCGGACGGAAAAGTTGAAATCTCGGCGTTCCTCGCGTCCCTCTCCCTTCTCGGTGCCACGGAGCGAAGGAAAGAGGAAGGGGTGGAAAAAAATCGACGAAGGGAGAGGAAAGGGTGGTGGGAGGGATGATCGAAACGCGAGACATTATCGGCGTGTCAAGAGTTTTCAATAGTTAACGAGCTTTTGATCTGATTATCGGCGAAACTTTCGAAGAAGTGTGACAGCTTGCGCTCTTGAGCAGCAGCAGCCCCCGAGATAGAGTATAATACGGGCTAATTTCGTCATTTCAATCCGCGACCCGAAACGAACCGAAATAATTTACAATGGCGGTGGATTGGCGGTCGCTGCGGAATAAGATCTTATCCGACGGGACGGATGAGGAGAAAGGGGGAAGAAAATTGAAGGTCGCCGAAGCAAGCCGAAGGACGATCCGGTTTGTCCGGCCAATTTCTCAGTCTCTCTCTCTCTCTCTCTCTCTCTCTCTCTCTCTCTCTCTCTCGCGACATCCTGTTTGACGCCACTTGACCTCATCCACTCTATATGTGCATGTACTACCACCGCGTGTGCGGATTTCCTTCGAGACCCTTTCTCCTTCTCGTCTCTTTTATCTTTCCGTCGGAAAAGCTGTAGCTTCCGGCCAGAATTACTTAGTTCTCTATAGAAAACGCGAAGGAATACGGACGAACGAGTCGACTCGTCGCGGCCGTGCTAAATCTCTGAGAGCTCTGGCTCTTGATTCTCCGTTCCAACGATTGAGAAACAACGGAGAGAGAATCAACATTCCTCTTATACAGAGGAGGAGAAAAATATCAAAACAATAACGGAAGCGATCCACAGGATGGCGGTATACATTTGTCACAGTTACTTGGTCGCGAAGCAAGTAAAAACGGTCCTGTTCGTTTCTCAATGGCTCGCGGGTGTACAACGAGAAAAACAGAGAGATATTTCCTTCCGTCATATACATGCGTATCTATGTGTGTGTGTGTGTGTATGTATGTTCTCAAAATCTGCAAATATGGCACACAATACCGTACGTGCTTCGGTGAATTTAAGATCAGCTACGGAACAAATCCTCTCACCCCGACAACAAAATGTTTCCAATAACTGTCGACCGATTGCACTGCTCAAAACAGTACACACGACGTCGCGCTTATTATCGTCCGTGACGTTCGTCCAACGGATCGCTCGAATTATTATTTCCGAATCGAAAAGAGAGAATCGACGATCGATTTTACGATTCTTACAACGAACAAGCGCAAAACGAAAGCGAAAGAAAGTTTTCGTGTAGAGGAAAAATTCTCATTGCGAGGCTGAATTTTTGTTTCGAGATTAATAAATACATTTTTAACAGTAATATTTAATATTTGTATATTTAAATAATATTTAAATAAAAATATTATTTAATGTTTAATTTAGGAATGTACTATTGTAAAATTTACTATCTAATGCTAAAGCGTGTCGTTATCGTCAAAACTGGGAATCTTCAGCTCTGACTGATGACACAGTACGCACGTTATCTACGCGTTATCGATCTTATTGTGCCGCAATTTAATGTCTATTGGCGAAACGAGATAGACACCTCGAGCTGAACACGTACGGCACGTTAATCACCATCTACTAGAACTGGTGTGTCTTTGACTGCGCAAAATCCACCGCGGCAAACTCGCAACATCTGCAGCTACAACCTGCAGGTTATTGCAATCTGTAATTGCAGAACTGCACGCGATCGACGTATCTGATCGACCATCGTTAACCACGAGACGCGAACCAGCTATCTATCCATTTAAAAACCAGACTATCTATCTATGAAAAAAGAAAGGAAAAGCTTCTGAAACGAGTTTCCAAAGTAATTGGGTAAAATTGTACAAAAAAAAAAAAGTATCGTTGCACAACTGAAACCGAAACAACGCGCAAAGTAAACTCAATCTCGCGTCGTAACGCCACTCTCGTTAATTCAATCTCGCATTCAGAATCTTCGACCAGAAACTCTACGTTTATTCATTCTACTTTGCATATTTGTCGCCGCCGATCGTCGTGCCTATTGAAAGCGCCGCGAAACAATGGAACCGTATCAGAAATTCACTCGTTCCTCCACGTTCGCTCGTTCTACTTTCCATCTTTCTCGCATATTTGTCACGACGATTGTGTATTCAAAGCACCTTGGAACACTGGAATCGCGGGATTTGCCCCCGCGTACCAACCTTTAAATCGAACCGCAAGACGTCAACAGGCTGTTTGCCAGCGACACTGGCAACCGCATACACAGAGAGGGAGGGACAAACTCTCTGTGGTTGAAACCACCACGATTGCTCGGCGGTCGCGTCGCAGAAAGGGTATGCGGAAAAATATTTACATTGAGCCGAGTGTTTTTTCTCGGAGTTTACCGAGCCGGACATTGTTTCGTTTCGCGGAAAAACGGGTCAAGTGGCTTTTAGCCTGACTGCAACTTTATCGGCAACCGGCGTACACCACTGGCTAGACCACAGAGAATCCCAGCCGTCGCGCTTTAACGTACTCACATTTGATTCGCTAATTAAGACCTTCAGCGAGCTCTCCGCTCGAACGGAGACAGCGGAAAGTGTCTGTTACCCAAGCAGGAGAAACATGCTCGTTACTCGAGAAAAAATGATTGAAGGATCTCTTCAAGAATCGCACGATTCGAGAAAGAAACAGAGGAATAAAGATAAACCTGGTGCTTCTACATTTCAGACGCGATTTGTGTCGTACTTTTTAGGAAAATGGAAGAAACTATCGAGATCTTTCGCCAGGAGTAACGTGTTACAATCACGAGGATATTTCGCGAGTCAAGACTCTATTTCTCGTGCATTTTGCATGAGATGAAGGTAGGCAAAAAAGGGGGAAGTTTCTCGTGCGAAATATTGATAACATTTTTGACAATACATCTACTGGTCGAAACAATTTTAATTTCCCCGCCCCTTACACAACCTGGTTCGATATCGATCCAAACCGAATATGCAAGTTGACCCGGATTGAAAAGTCTGCTGGAACGATCTTAAAACACAAAGAAATGAAAACGACTGTATCGCCGATTTGTGGATCTGACTTTCCATTAGCGAAATAGCGTTTCGCCTTCGCTTGGTTTCCACTTTCAGATACACCGTGTTTCTCTTGTCTCTCTGTGTACCTGTTTCTCCCTTCTTTCTCTTTTCTCCTTCCTTTTTCTTTTCCACCAGCTTCTCTCCCCTTTTCCCATCTTTGCTCCCTTTTACCGGTAGTTCCCGCAGAAATTAAGTATCGCGTAACGCGGCAACGAAAATATCGATACTACGTTTAAGCAAGAAATACGCGGGATAATGGGACGCTATTATGTTTGGCAAGCAATAATGGAACTAGCAGTTTTATAAAAGTCACCATTAGGGAATGAAGAGCAGTCATTTTATTACGTTAAAGAGCGTGTATAGCGTTATGCCGATCGCAATATTCGAGGCTCGTTGGTTGAACGGAGTTCCTCCAACGTAAGTTTTCCTCCAAGCCAATTATTTCGTAATGAAGAAATAACGGTGTAAATCACGTTACGAGATCACTACGCCCCCGACCGGAATTCTAATCGTTATCACGGGCCGAGGATGAAGATGTTTGGAGAGGAAATATATTATATCCGCTCGTTTAACGCAACAGTTCATTCAATTATAACTGCGTGTACGATAGTAATGCATTTTTCTATGCAGAATCTTGGCTTCAAGTGGTTCGATCTCCAAATTGAAGATAAAAGAAAAAGAGAGCGCGAATTTGTTTTCGTTGAATTTTTTAATTTCAATGTTACTCTGCGAAATATTTTAATACGAAAGCAAAAATTTTGCAGAAACGAAAAAACACAATTAACAACATAATTTTGTTGAGACAAATGGTATTTTAACACCGCGACAAGCAGCACGTTTGATGTTACAACAGTGACATTTCCAACTGAAGAATTTATCGAGACAGATAATATTTTACCATTAGGGCAAACAGTATGCTTGAAATTGTAAAAATAATATTTCCAACTGAGCTCGTTTCAGTTTAATCATTTCAGAGGCAGGGAAAAATTATTTCTACCACGAGCGTAAAAACATATTTTCGTTTTCAGAATGTGCAGCTGCATTTAGAGCTCTCCTCGCTTTTTTCACCTGTGTTTATTAATTTAATAAAATATACAGACTTGGAGATATGAAGACTCGAAGACTCGTAGCAAAAACTATTACGTAAATACGAATATTATGATTTGTTTCTGGGAAAATGTAGATTCACTGAGCCCTCTCGAATATGCTGCGTATATGTCGGTCGCAGAACCTTTGTTATTGTTTATATTTCGTAAATTGCGACTTTCAATTTTTCGTTTTTAAATCATACAAAAATACTAGTCTCTGACAATATTTCGAAATATAAATTTTACAATTTGACCGTAATCGTAACATATCGTAAATCATGTTATAAATAATACTTCAGTTTCTAAAATATAACAGAAGAGACTATTTGTTAAAAGAAACTCCGTAACTGATATCGTACGCTATCCGCGAACAGAGTTTCATAACTTTTTTCGCGCATTAGTCATCCAGTCGGTCGTATAATGTAAGTTGAAATTGGACTTACCTAAATTCGTTTAGACATCTTGCACCGACGGGAGAACCTCTGCATTTCGCCGAGATAGATCGACGTGGAAAATCCGTGGAAGAAGGCGAATACCGTTGTCGGTGTCCTGGAACGAGCGCGCAGAAGAAGAGAAATGTCCCATCCGTGCCGACAAATAGCGTAAAAAGAAAAGTTTCGGTCCATATGCACTAGAAAAATCCTTTCGTTCTTCTCTCACACACGAGTGAAAGTATCGTTTGCGGAGAGGTTAACTTGCCAACGATCTGTCACATATTGATCACTCTGATCGATATATCGATACACGACCAATGGCGAACGTTAAGTTGTAGGTTATGTCATAACCGTTCACCGCGGCGCAAACCAATCAAATTTCACGTTTCGCACTCGATACATTTGTCACGCGAGGCGTGAGCCTTCTTCGAAATGAGAAACAACAATGTTTGTTGAAATTGAAAATAAAACAGTCTTGAAAACACGGCCTATCGTTAACGACCGATCATTACACCACTTTTCTTTCAAACTTGTCGCGCAGCTGATCCATGAGTAAAACAAGCTTCGATAAATCGGCGACGACAGCGGAGTTTAGAGCAGCTGGTATCGAAATTCACATCGGCAAACAGTCGATAGGCGCACAGCGTGGCCCACTCTTTGAACGACCTCGTTAATCGACGATTCTCGCGACGAAAGACGAGAAGAACACCTACTCGAAAACCGTGCGCGCCGAGGATCGGGCGGTGACTGAAACCACCATCTCGTCTCGCTCACTACGACCCCCTCTCTTTCGCTCTTCCAACTCACCCCTTCCGTGCGTTCAAGTTAGTTCCCTCTCTTTCCCGTAAACAACGAACGAAAATCTTCTTTTTCTAGTCGCCTCCTCGTCTCGCTGGCACTCGCCGTTTCTCCCTTACACCACGCTATCGTCCCTCTTTCAATTCTGTTCGTCTTTTTCTCACCAATTACCGCGCAGGCATCCCTTCGTCTCTCTCGTACCTGATTTCTCTTATCATTTTCCTATCCTTCTCGTCCTTAGGCTTTTTGCTGTTGAACCGTCTCTTTCCCGCTCGCTATCTCGTATTCTGTCCTCCGATCTATCCGTCTCCGTTACGAGCGTGCATCCATCGCATAATCTGTCCCACTCTACCACGCAACCTCGCTTCTCGTTCGAGGATACCGTACACACCGATGCGCCCTCGTCGCTTTCTCGCGTTTCTCCCTATATCACACACACACACACGTGCGCGCGCGTGTATGCAGCTTCTGTCTCTGTTTCTCGGTGTGCACGCGCAAGCATCCAACGGGCCAGCAGAGAGTGCCACGCCTACCTCTTCTGTATATGTGCCACTGATGCGAGAGAGGCGCCTAACCTCGGACTTCCTGGAGACGCTCGAACTTGAAGCTTTTTTTTCTTCTCCCTGCGACGACGCAACCTGCATCCAAATTCGCCGGCAAGGACTATCGCTCCACGGTTATTGGGAATTCCAGGCTGGATCACCGACACCGACACCGACACAGATTCGATACCGATGCGCCCGCCAACGGTCTCCGCGGTAATTACGCGGCGTAAAAAGCTTCTTAACGCGGTAAACTGTACAACGTCCCGGCTGTAATTACTACGATGGATTGAGTGAACGTCGAAGTTTTTGGTGGTTACACGAAGGTAAAGCATAACGATGATTGAATTCTTTTCTCGTTTGTGACAACTGGTTTGCAAATAAATGCGACGGACGTATGAGCATAATTGTCGCGAGTATCGACGCGATTACCTGAGAGGTTATGTTGACCCGATTGTGTCACCGCGTTGGATTAATGTAACAAATGATGATAAATCGACTGGTTCGCCAAGCTCCTGTGCTTTCCTTCGAAGAAAACGCTGTAATGCATTTCGTGGAAATGTAATTTTGCAAATAGGGACTATTACGGTGGAATATGGAATGTTATGTACGTAACTTACCGGTGATAGTCGATCCCCGTGCTTTCGAATAGAAATGGCGCCAAACGTGGGCGAAATTGAAATCAAATGCGCGCCGCGGTTTCATCGATCAATTCCTGCGCAGTGAAGCAGAAACGCGCATTTCTGTTTGAATGTAGACTATTATCTTTCGATGTATGAACAATGTTATTAAAAATGTCGCGCATAATGTCTCTCTAATCGGTTCTGCTCTTCGCGTCTCGTAATTAAATTTTATGAAGCAACTGAAACGAATAAATCAACCGTCGACCACTTGTTATATCGTAACCGTCCTTTTTCTATCATGGTTTCACCTTTGAAACGAACATGTAACGTGAAGTATCTTCTTTGATAAAAAATTAATGATCCGTGAATCACGGATTGCTTTAATCTGTTTGCTCGCTCTCTGATGCATGCACGCAACCGTATGCAGCAAGAAATAAGCTAAATGCGAGTATAAAAGTGTTAGTTTATATTTCTCATTCCTGAAAAATGTATAAATATTTAACTTTCCCTTTTTCAATGCGCTCTTTTCTATAAATACTGATATCTGTTTCTAGGGTGAGACCTGGCTACTCCATTTAAATATACCATTTTCTTTGTGTTTGCCTGTCCTTTGCACCATGTGAGAGGTAACTGTACAATACGAGACCGTATCACATATTCTTAACAAGACTTCTTCTAAAGTAGCAATGAAAAACCATCCCGACATGGTAATAAAATCGCCGTAAGTAGAATCCTTTTACCTTTGAATATAATTCCGTATTAACTATATTTAAATATTCCTCTGTATAACTCTCTTTCTTTTATCCCGCGATTCTAAGCGTTATTATAATATTTACCGCGGCTGGAGAGAAAAGGAAACCATCTATCCCGTTTTCACGCTTCGTTCACCCCATATCCCTGAGTAAGCCTGTTACTTTCTTTTTCGAAAATTGCACCGCTTTAATATTCCCAGACAAAAGCCAAGCAGCAAGAGTTCGCCGATTGCTGAGACGCGTTCTTCTGAAACGTCACAAAGTTTAGCTGCGCTTTCGTTCCGTTCGGGAAAAGCTGGCGTATAAAAAGGAATCGTTCCAACAATTTGTTCAGGAACGATCATGCTGCTTTGAGCACTCAGTATCGCGTAATCGTTACGCCACCATTTTCGTACGTATCATTTGGCATGGTATTATTGAAAGGAAGAGAGAGAGAGAGAGAGAGAGAGAGAAAGAGAGAGAGAGAGAGAGAGTTACCTTTGAAAAGTATCGCGGAGACGCTTAGAAAGCTCGCCAGGGACGTGCATTATTCCGGTCAATATCTTTACAATGGGGTAACCCAATATTGTTCCGACGGAGTATCAACCTGTGTATCATCAAACGTATTCGCGTTATCTGTGTACAGTTGCCAAGCTGTTATCAATGTTAAAAGTAACAAGGACGACGTTAATGTAACAACACGCGACTCGACGGAGTTTGAGGATTAGTCTGTTTAACCATGTAAAGTTTAACACAGAGGAACCGGAGGGGAATTGTTAATTCTCAAAGAATTTCGGTGTCTCGCGAGACACCGCGGCTACCTCCCTTCCCTCCCCCCCCCCCTCCTTCTCCGTTTGTTCTTCTCTCTCCCCTCTGGAAGAGTTTGAAAGTTTGATCCAGTTTCTTTCCCCTTCAGCGGCAAATTTAATTCTATGTTGCGCGTCTTCTAGCCTGAACAGTTTTACACCGCACACGCTCTCAGTATTCATAGAAGTTTCGGAAGCAGAATTAGTCTTCTGACAAGGGCAAGCTCGCTTGCACGTCCCGCCTCGCAGCTGTCGTGTCATGCAAGAATTAGTATCACCGACGAAACACGCCACATTTCTGTTCCCGCTGTTTCACACCGGCGAACAAACCGCACCCTTTGGGAGGTATTATGCATACATAAGGCATCCGTGTGATTCCTGAGATGCCATCATAGATTCTACAATTCGTATCAACGCACGATAAGGATCTTCCGATTCACCTACGTGACGTTACGTATATTCCTCGCATTATTGTACTTTAGATTCGTCAATCTCTGTGTGCACGTGTCAACCTTGCGTTGGAACGCAAATTGCCTCGAACTACATTTACAAAATGTTGGATCAATTGTTTTTTATCAATATATAATTGACTGCTTAAACTTTATCGCGAGCCACTGTATTATCGTAAATCAATCTCGTCAATCCGCACGGACGTTTCAAGCGTGATTATCGCGACACAGACAGCAACCAGACGATTTATATCTGCGAGAGGTTGTTTTTCTTCGACTCATCGAGAATTCATTGGATAAAACCAACACCACGAGGAATGTTGAATCACGCCGAATTTACGCAATTTTCCGGGAAACGAACACCCATTCGGAATCGCCATCAAACCGTATCGTCCGCGAACTAGCCAGGAGTGAATCTCCTGTGGCAACTATGCAAAGCATTTCCAATTTCCACGTATGGATCCACGTGTAGCCGTCGATGCGGCAGACTTCCTTTATTCTCTGCCTTCCCGCATCGTACAAGTTTTCCACCTCGCTACACTGTGTATGCGCTCCCCATGCTTCGCTCTATCACGATGGAAGAAGAAACGAGCATTCTTCCTTGCGAAAGCTCCATGAAACTTAACTACCCATCGCTAAATATTTCGCTGATGAGCTTTCTTCCCTGCATGCACGCGCTAATGAGTTTATCTTTATGCAAATTCACATCTCCGTGAATATAATAATTTGACAATTTAATTACCCGTTGGAAAATGATTTCCCTTACTAAAGAAGTACTACACCTTGAATATTTTATTAATTTTAAGTTGCCCGCCAAATCGACTCTTTTTGCAGTTTTCTCAAATTTCAAGAAAAATACAGGCACGTCTGAGATATCGAATATTCTTTCTCGAAAGGTTCTCCCTTGAAAGAGTGAACTTGTATCGAACGGAAGCTTTGATTAAGCTCGAGGAGAAGCTCGAAGTGCATGTAATCTATTATGCCTTATTATGCTGGCGTTGTTTCTCTTTTTTTCACGGCGTTCACATAGGCGCGAGAAAGTATGGACATATTAATCAACGAGTCGGGTGCGACGACAGAAGCCGATGTAAAGCATTCCAGAACGGCTGGAAAACAATGGACAATTAATGCACGCCATTCGTCGGGCGCATACCACTGGAACTGAACTGCCGTCCCTTTGCGCACTCCTAGAAGTTGCACAAAGGATGGGCGAATGCCATAGCTGCTCGAGGAATCGCGTAGTCTTGATTCGTTTTTGGAAATGAACCCTTTGACTCTCGTCCTACGTTGGCCGTGCGTATGCGAAATGAGGCACGATAGAATGAAATTCCAACGGGGGGGAAATGATGGTGGCGCGCGCTTAAAAAGGCATCGGAGGATTAAAGAATTTATCTGAATCCGATTTTACCAACCGGTGGGTTTTTTTCCGATGAATGCAATTTCATGACTCAAGTTAAATTTCATGCGTTGAAATTTTAAAATATTAGACGTATTTCAGACGAAAGAAACTACCCTTGGTAATCTTTCAATCTTCTGAATAATGTATTCTATTGCTTCAAGAACAATCTTGACTTGTTCGAGATTTCGTAATTTAATTAAATACAACTCTTAACGCGAAAGCAATTTCTTGCTTCTCTGGAGAAAGACAGACGTGGACAATAGTCGCCTTCTGAAGTTGATTATCAACTCAATGAAAAAATTACCGTAAAACGTGAAATTTGTGTTTGTATTTTGAGAGAATCATCTCGAACAGCGAATTGAAGGATCAAATTTGCGGCCGCGTTTCACTTAATGCCTCTTCGCCCAGCGTATTCAATGATAAATAACGTTTCTCAAAAACGTGTCATTTCTTTGACTGGTGATGATTTATTATTTAACGTTCACCTACTTCCCCCTCTTCCCCCTCTTCCACCCCGATGAGGATGTGCTCGCGAGAATAGCTGCGTTCCAGTATGCGACGAGTATGCGACGAATGATAATTAATTCGTACTGTTTGCCGACTTTCGACCAAGACGAAGAGAGCATAGTTGTCTTGCTCTCTCGTGGGAAGAGGTTCAACGAGGTTGCCTCGAAATGGTTTCTTCTTTAAACATTTTACCAAAGGATGGTTAGAGGGATAGTTCTTCGCTCGTGGAATTTTCATTTTCATTTCCTTTCACTTTGATAATCATACAGAGACAAGTAATAAATAAATCAGAATCGATCAACGCTTATTCGAGCAAACATCTAGTCTCTTAGTTGATAATCAAAGTTGTCCTCCCACGTATCGCTCGGAAATCATGTTTTTTTCTCTTTTTCTCTTTTTTTCAGTCTATCGAACGTTGGAGTTTCCCCGTACATCGGCCTGTGAAGGTAACCACAGACCAAAAACCTCTCGCAGTAACTTCTGTTCAGTTTGTACGTGTCCAATTTCCTGCTCCCAGACGCAAAGGTTGGCCGACGAATTTCAACTTGGTTCGAATATAGCACGGGGGAAAAAATTTACATAACCACGTAGAACCTATGCATTCTGTATTTTTCAATGACTCGCCTGGCGCGGCGCGTGACGACGTTGAAAATTACCTAAAATCCATGGGATTGGATATCGAGGGAGGGCTAATGACCGTCAAGATATTTACGACCGAGGGTGCCAAAAGTCGATTTTACTTTTTCGGCTAGAATTTCGGGCAACGGACCGGTTAATTAACGCGACTCGGGTCCATCGTATCCCCGGTATTAAACAAGAGAGCGAAAAGGGGGAACGATTTATCGGAGCAAGAAAGGTACTTAAAGTTGCCTGCCACGATAATTATAATAATTACTTACAAAAGTTCCTTCCATCCTCCTTCCCCAGTGAAAACTCGACAAAACTCAATAAACTGGATTAACCATCGGGTTCGCGAGGCTTGGACCGTAGACTTTCGCAATTACCGCTTAAATACTGTATACACCGATCGTGTCCTGGATTTTTCTGTTACTTCTACTGCTTGTTTCGTTTATCGTCGAGGCGGCGTAACCGCGCGGCAGATTATTAACGATCCGAGCCGGAACACGCGCCTCGCCGGGATCACGAATTAATATCAACCACCTCCCTAACAATTCCGTTTCATTCAACCCTGTCGAATTAATAATGTATCGGCCGGCTCGCTTCGCTTGTTTCTCCAAACAATCAGATAAACGTCGCCCATTAGCGTGTAAATTATTCCCGAATTCTACGCGTTTGCTCGGTAAGTTTGTAACAGTTGCCGAATGAACCGTATCGAGTCGAGAGGAAGGATCGATTCGTGCGTTCACGGGGGTGAGAAGGGTCGAACGAGGGACAAGCAGGTCCGAATCGATCTTGACATTTCGGTTAAATAGGCTTATAGGCCAGCGACTAATCGACATTTCCACATAAATTTGCCCCCTCTCGCGCTTCTGGGTTTAAAAAAAAACCTCTCATTCTTGCTCTTCCCGACCGCTGGACTCTTTGATTCTAGATAGAAATAATAATCAGGGGATATTCTAGATAAATAATAAATATTTGAGATAAATGATAAATTCGATTCTAGATGAATAATACAATCAGGCCTATCAGAATTCATAACCAAGGCGTTTTCCCCAAAGACACGATTCGATTGTAAAATTCTGCAATCAGGTTTCCGCAATCAGACCTACGAAAGAAACTTTGCAACGATAATTTCTGAAATTCTGCCATATCAAATTTTCACCCTGCACATTGGGCAATCGTCGATCGTAAATAAATTCTTAACGCTAAACGTGTCAACGTTTCGTTTAAAATTGTGACTTAAAATTCTGCATTCGTTGTTACTTCTTTTGTTCAATGAACTTTCGTTAAAATAAAAATGAAAATATATAATTCTGTTCCACTTGTTATCTAAAAGTTATTTCGTGCATCGTTCTCTATATTAAATTACCTGTACTCCTCTTTATTTCATAATCGGTTATATGATCGGTTACGGTAGACAACGATATATAAAGTGCCCAGTACGTTTAATATTAAAACAATGCAAGTGTCAATTCCTTGAACAAATATTATCTTCCTTCTCTCTGAAAGGAAATTTCAACTGAATTTCGCCGAACGCATGGAACGAACGCCAGATCGAACGATCTTGCAAATCATCGATGTAACGATCTCCAACGTCGTTCTTTTTTATTAAATTTGATCGGTTTGATCTCGAACCGCGGCGTTAAAGCGGAACGTGGCGAACGTGCGTTTATTGAAGACTCGGCGCTTCGACATACAGCGATTCGTGCGTTGTTAGCGGCGGCACACTGCGGGAAACCGTTGACCCTCATAATTCCTGTGTTTCGCAGGACGGCTGTAATTTCCAAAATCGTAGCTTCTCGTTTGAAAATAGCAGGCTCGATTCGGTTTCTCTCCCGCCCCGGAATGGGGAGCGACGAGTGCGTGCAAGCTCGCAAGGGGGTGGTTTCGCCCGAGAAAAGTCTGAGCGAGCACGGCACGGAGGAAAAGAGGACGCACGTGTCCGGTTTATCAAGCAATGCCTTCATTCTCTATCCTTCTCCTTCCTTCTCCTCTCACTCAAGGTGAAGAGAGCCCGTAGAACATTCTCCTTCTGTTGCCGTTAGTACGTACTTTGCATTTATCGTCGCACCTTCGGGAATCTGTCCCTCCAGCATAGACGGAAATCGAAGTATGATCGAACGATCCGTTTCACAGCAGACCGGCGCCTTTCACGAGACATGTCCATTACGTGGATTGGCCGACTGGTCGAATTGGAGAATTAGCAGAACGGTGAAATATATATTTTTATGAAGTTCCTCGTGTATTCCTCTTTGCAAAAATACGTTATCTAAAAGCGCGTAAATTGACCGTTCAGATTTTCAAGATTCTTTGCTCCATTCGATTCAAACGAAATCGTCTATGAGATATTATATGCAAAACGCACGAATGTGGTACTTTCCTCGATTTCCGAACTTTAATTCATTTGATCCCCGTCGTCATTTTTTCTTTTTTCTTTTTTTTCAGATTAACGTTAATGAAAGGAGCCATAATGAATGGAGTTACCCGTTCGCAGAAAAATTTCACCCTGGATCAGGGATTCGGCTAATTCCCGATCCAAAGCTGGCTTTTCGTGTTCAATTTCTGATGGAAGTTAATCGCACGCAAAAAAAAAAAGTGAAAAAAAAATAAAACTGCAGCTTGTCGCATCGCGAGCGCGAAATAGGTCGCGCGTCAAACGCATCTCGTCGCGGGCTCGTGCTAGTCAGCCCTCGAATAGAAATGCATATATTTAAAATATATCACGTGATATAAAAAAAAACCGTGTGTCGCAATTTCTGCATCAATGTTTCGCCTCTCTCTCTCTCTCTCTTTCTCTCTCTGTTTCTCTCTCGTGGATTGAACGCTAACAGCCACTAAACAGGTTCTGCTTCATTAATTCGAAACAGTGCGAGTGTGACGTCAATTGTACGCGTTGAATTATTGCCAGCCAGCAACTGTGACTCTTACATAGGCAAGATTTAGCTTCATTCTAGATTTTTATCTAAAAATACGCCTGCTTTCATCCATCGAAGCGAATTTTCGACGAATTTCCGATAATAAAAACGAAAAAGAAAAGAACATTCGGTAAGCGCATATACATATATCCATTCAAGGGATGTATTCTCCTATTATGGTGGAATTAACGTGTTGGATACATCCTATTTCCGGTTGATCATGAATATTTAAAGCGGCGGGCAGGTGCGTAAATTTCAAAATCGGAGCCACCTGTGTCAAATATGTTAAATACATTTGACGCTGACGTTTCGTTCGTCTCTCTTAACCCTTAGGCACATGCAATTTTAAAGAAAAAAAATCTCTATCTGCTTTTTTCAATCTAAAAGAAGGAAAAAAACATTTATTTCAATTATTAAACAGAAAGTATTTCTTAAAATGAAGAAAAAAGTAAAATATTTAAATAAGTAGTATTAAATATTTAATATAAGATAGTAAAATAAGTAGTATCAAATATTTATAATTAAAGTAGTTCAAATTCATTAAAATTTAAATTGAAATTTAAATAAAATATAACAACGTATGAGTATTAGTAATTTCAATTTTCCACCATTAAATGTCAAAAAAAATGTAGGACAATTTTCAAACCCACCTATCCCCAGAGTTAAGTCAGTGATTCAAGTCAACAAATATTCTGTCCGAGCAGTTTCCTTCAAAGATACACAATCTTCTTGGTGCAATCAAGCTTGACAAAATTGGGATTCACAATCGTGTTTAGTGCTCGATCTCTGTAATAATCTACTAGTGAAATCTTATACTTATAATCGGACACTGAGACTTCGTTTTCGAATATCCCACGATTATACTAGGTTGCAGGAGACGAAACGCGACCACTTGTAACATCCGTTGCTTATGTAGGTCGCGTCGTTTCGCGCCTCTAACGTTCGTCCGTTGCGGTGCTTGTTTTTCAATGATTACAGTCGATGCTTTTAAGCTCTCCGTGGAAAGTCGTTGCGTCTAAGGGCGCATAAACTTCGTCGCGTATACAGCCTTGAAAAGTGCTTTAATAATTGTACTTTCGTACAGAAAAAGTATATAATGTTTAACTTGGAATAGCATTCGAATCGGCGCGATGTCTGGGAGAAGAAAATCGAAAGAATACTTGCCAAATTGAAGATAAATAATTCGCCGTTGTATTCTGATAGAAACACGGAAGATTAAGAGGAAAGAAGAAAATGAAAAGCTTCGCAATTCGTGAAAATGATAATCCAGAATCGCCGCGTGAACACCGTGCTCGGGGCAGTCCAATTATCCCGAGACTTATTAGAGGATCGGCCCGGATGATGATTCATAATTGGCCGGAATGGGTGAAAAGGTGAAAATCTGCGTGTAGCGGAGGCACGAGCCGGACTTAATTAAAATCTTAAACGCCTATCGCGATCGCGGGACGGGACGGGACGGGACGGGACGGGACGGGACAGGACGAGACGGAACGTAGCGAAGTTTTGTCGGGTTGACTTATTTAATAGAGGATTTCCAAATTGTAATGCCAGCTGCTGCGAGAACGCCGGTGCTCGCGGCAGCCAATTCCCGCCCGTGGATTTCATACGCGCAAGCTTAAATACATCACACGCTAATGCTTTTATGCGTCGTACACACGTTCAGACTGTTCTGCATAAACTGCGCGCCGCTCGATGAACTCGCTCGGCAAACTTCTCGGCTCCGGGTCCCACGGCTCCGGGTAACCTCGGCAAGCCGAGTTTTGCCAAATTTTTCGTTAATTCAGTGTCCGTCGTTAAATTAATAAATTCCCCCTCCGTATCGCATTCGAGAATTTGAATTGCGCCTCTGGTGTGGCCGGAAAGGCAAAACTAAACCGGTGATGAGTTAATTGAAAACTTTGAAATTCCTTTCATTTAGAGAAAAGAGATGTTGCCAATAATTATTTGGTGACATTTGCTCCCTGACAATTGGATTAATTTCTTTGTTAA